GGTTTGATTTCTTTGTATGTATGGATCACTTGGGTTGTTACCGACATCTGGTGAAAATTTCATGTCATTAACACCTCTAGTAATATATTTACTGATAAAAATGGTGACGTGTTCAATACTTATTTTACCCGCTGTATCAACCACAATTAAATTCACTCCATCCAGGAGACACAATTTACAATTTATCAGGATAGTATTTTTTTTAAGTAATAACAATTTGGAATAAAATAGGAGTACAGATAATTGTGTAAAAATGTAATGAGTAAAAGCAAAAAGTACGCTGAAAAATAACTACTCAAGTAAAGTACAGATAACCAAAATTTCTACTTAAGTACAGTAACAAAGTATTTGTACTTAGTTACTTTACAACTCTGTTTTTAAGTGATGTTCTGTCAAAAAAGTTATTAGGAGTCAATAACTAGTTTTAAGTATTTAACAGAAGATCACTTAAAAATGGACCAGATTGCATTAGCTTCTAAAGATATCACAACATATAAAATTGTGTGCACAATTTTGCATGGATATGTACAATTTTTTTAAAAGGCCCTCAAAGGACATTCAACCTTTRATGTGAGGAACATTAGTTCTCAAAACCATATTAAAAGGATAGTTCAGATATTTTTTTTGTGGAAAAGTCATAGAAAATTCATAACTTACCTATTGTAGATAACTGGCTGCTGTAGGTCAGCAGCAGGTTTTAGCTCAGTTGTGTTAAAAAGACAAAACAAATACCGAATTTCTAGTGAAATGAAAATAACTAACCAATAACCAACCTCACTCTGAAATTTATTTTAAAGTTTTGACTGTAAGAGCTAACAGATGTTCCTTTGTTCCTTCTCACACTGCCTTATGGTACAGAGACTAAGGAGACTGAGGTTTTCATATTTAGAACACCACTTCAACTTAGCAAATTTATTATTATGCACTAAATATTCACAGTCAGGTGTTGCACAAATAAATGTGAAAATATTGGCTGGAAAACAGAACCTGAAGTGATGGACAACACCGTGTTGCTAGTTTAGGCTGAAATAATCTGACTTCACAACAACCATGCGGCAAATGTCAGAACATTCAATAAAATAAAACTGGGTTCAGACCAATTCCTTTTCTCCATCCCAATTCTTTTCCCATCTCTGTATCCCAAAATGACCCCCCGCAAAATGAGGMCAGCAGACAAGTGTGTCTCTCACCRCAGCTTGAACCTTTTTTAAAATGTGACATTTGTGCAGAGTCTGATGGATCCACTAATCTCTCGCAGATTACCACAAACTCATTAACTATGGAGTAACAATGTGTCCCAATGGGTTTCTAATACTCTTTACYGAAACTGCACACATATTGTCCTGACTGAGGGCTAGGACCTCCTCACATTCTGCAGAGCTGCTGCTTGATACGGCTGCATCTGCTGCTGCGRCACACGGCACACCAGAAATGATTAGATCTGCTTTTGGAAGCATCTGATGTAGGAAATTACGGTTGTTACAATCCACACATCAGGCGTGTTCATTTGCTGAGGGAATAATGCGAGGTCATGCGGGAACATAAAGCAGTGCGATTCCACATTTCGCAACTCAAAAAAATTCAATAATGCAATCTGTTAAGCCAGTGCAGCAGAGGGGATGAAGCTAAAGCCAGCTTGAACCAGCCAAATAAGGAAAAACTTCAGAATGAAAGCACACTGGTGTTGCTTTTCACTGATCCAGTTTGAGTTCTGAAAATGGTAGATCCTTTTAAAAGACTGAGCCAGCCTTCAGAGATAAATAATCAAAGCTTATCCAAACTGATTTCAACTATTTGCTTTTTCTCATCACAATTCTGTACAAACATAATTCAAAAGGAAATTCTGCTGCTTCACCTGACCTGAAGTCTCAGACTGCAGTAGTTTCCCCACTGTGCACCCTTGTGGTTAAACATTAGTCGATTGGCAAATAGTTGTTAACTCCAAGATAATCTCTTGGTTTTGCAATGAAACAAAGGTTCTACTGTTGTAGCTAACTCAAAGCTGAGAACTGATCTAAGTCGACAGAATGAAAGTGGTTTTGTTCATTCAAAGAGGCAAAATTGGAAACAGTTCCTGCTCCAGGGCACTGCCACTTCGAGGGTGGGAAACAGGAGGAAAAAATACACCAAATAATGTTTAAATGCAGCCAGTCCCATATTTATGTAGTTTTAACCATCAACTTAAAATCCTCATCTCAAATTCTGGTTTACAAAGCTTAATTTTAACCCCGTAACACTGGTTGTACTTGGAGTGGTGTCGCTGAGTGAGAGGTTTTACTGTCTGGGTCAACCTTAAAAGAAATGAAACGAGGGTGTAATAATAAGAGACAGAGAGATGAATGGATTAAAGGATTAGAAATCCCTCTGCACCCGGTCCGAGGCAGCCATGTCTCTGCACCTGCAAACAAASCCCTCAGGGACCGTGGCAACACATGCGTCATTCAAAGTGTGTCACAGTCACACACGTTTACAGACGACATGAAAGGAGACATACCCCTGTACGTCATAAGCAAATACTCAGTAAAATAATATATATTTAKTTTTTTATTCTTTCTAATTGAATTTGTTGCAAATTAGGACACAAAACAGTTTGTGAGTTTTTTTATTGTGTTTATTTTAAAGGAATTTATTATGGGACCGTAYGTGTGTTCATGATTGCAAGATATTTTTTAAAACAAGACATTTTTCTTTTATCTTGAAAGATTATACATTTTATCAGGGCAGATCATTCTGTCATCATCACTTTTACTTTTGACTGGATTTTTTTTTTCTATGATCAAGACAGTGACAAAATACTTTGTACATGTATTCACTCTCTACTGCTATCTAGTGGTAATTAATTCCTTTACAACTTCTTTCTGTCACTTTTGACCCAACTTTGATATAAAACATGAAAATGCAGAATAGGAGCTTAAACGTCCATATGTATTTATTTCWGATTGTTTTTGTTTATATATTTTCTGAGGAAAAAATCTGCAAATTTTGAAAGTAAAAATATCCAAAACCATGTTTAGAATCCCATTTCTTCATCCAACATAAAAAGAGTGAGTTAGAGAGATCCATAGCTGGTAGATGTATGCATTTCTAACCAGATTTAAATTCAGCATTCRTGAATTATTTTTGACTTGTCACATCCAGTCAACGTTCAGTTTTGGGAAATGTTTCCCTTGAGCCCAAAAGTGAAAACTCTGCAGCCTATCAGCTTCCAGGAAAGAATGGTCTAATCGTGTGAATGAAAATAACCCAAGTCCTCCTCTAATCCCTGCCTCTATCCTTTTTTATCTGAGGCTTCAGACWAGTGGCAGCAGTTGGAGCTGTGAGCCTGTGAACCACCACAATGCATCTGATGTTCCCTTAGACTGGATTGCAGCACTTATTTTTTAACTTGTAGTTTAGTCCTAGGGTTTTAGTTATCTGCAGAAGAGGAACCATGATCCGACACTTTGCTGCTGCTTTTTGTTTGGCTTTAGTTTTTCTTTCTCATCTAAGTACTCCGTGTCCRTCTCAGTGCAGCTGCTTCTTTCATAAACTAAGTGATGGATCTAAGGCAAGGTAAGTGATTTGGATTTTTGCTTCCATTATAAGTATTTCACTGCATGCAAACCGATTTCACTGCTRCATCCTGCTATTCAGTTACTTTGTAGAAAAGGTGATTAACTCTTCCCTTTAATCTTCTTTGCTTGTTACTGAAGAAAAGCTAACTACCTTTTCCCTAAACTGGGTTGTTTTTAAATTAGAAAAAAGAAAAGAAGTACAAAACATGTAGTTTTGTAGTTTATCTATTTTTATTATCCCCTCAAATAAAAAAAATCAACTTACAATTATTATTTTTACTTGTCTCATTGAAAAAAATTACATTATACACTATTTTTTCCCTTGCAGGAGTGTGCTTTGTAATGATCCAGAAATTACTGCGGTACCTCCAAATTTCCCCACTGACACATCAAAGCTGCGCATTGAGAAGACAGCGATTACACGGATTKCAAGCAACAACTTCCACTACCTCAACAGTCTGGAGTTTTTATGGATGTCTTTCAATTCCCTCAACTCACTGAATGCCGACAGCTTCCGGGGTCTCTCCAACCTGGATGAGCTCAGGCTGGATGGGAACTCCCTCACCTCCTTCCCCTGGGAAGCTCTGCTTGACATGCCTGTCCTGAGGCTCCTTGACCTGCACAACAACAAGATCTCCACCATCCCAGCCTCTGCCACCATGTACATCAAGAACATCACCTATTTGGATTTATCCAGCAACAGCCTCACAACAGTCCCTGCTGAAGTTCTCACGATGTGGCTGAGTGTGAAGCCTTCCCAAGACTCGGATTCCTCCAAGCTAATTCTGGGTGAGGATGAAGCTGTGACATCTTAGGATGTTGGAAAGTTCACCTTTTAATGCTCCCTTCTTTGAGTTAAGGATTAGTCTAGTGATAGTCGTTCTGTGCACATGTCGAGCTGTCAGACAAATTCTGTTAAATTCAACTCTCAGCTGCAATTTATTCATCTTAAATTTTGGACTAAACTGTCAATTTTGGTTCCTCAGGTCTTCATGACAACCCATGGCTGTGTGACTGCCGACTCTATGATCTGGTCCAGTTTCAGAAGTCTCCCTCGTCGTCTGTGGCTCTCATCGACACCAGGTTGAGGTGTGCCGATCCGGAGAGCCTATCAGGAGTTTCCTTCACCGAGGCAGAGCTGCAGAAATGCCAGGTGCCGCGGGTGCACACGGCTGTGGCTCGTGTTCGGAGCTCATTGGGCAACAACGTTTTGCTACGCTGTGGCACCATTGGAGTGCCCATTCCGGAGCTGTCCTGGAGTCGCGCTGATGGCAAGAAAATGAACGGCACAGGTGTGGTTTGCACTAAAATTTATTTTTGAACAAGTCAAAATCTCTGTGAAATAAACTTTGTGGCAATTTCTTTAACTCCTTGGGTATCCTTGTTTTGACTCGACAGTTCAAGACGAGATTTCTAAGGAAGGCATCATCTGGTCCATTTTGAGTGTGCCTGCAGTGTCCTACAGAGATTCTGGGAAATATGTGTGCAAGGCAACCAACTTTGTGGGCACTGCAGATGCCATCATCTCCTTGGTGATCACTGATTCCATTCGGTCAGAGGAAGCAGTTGGTGGTGCTTCTAAAAGAGGCAGAGGGAAGAAGCCCGGTGGCATTGGAAGAGCAGCATACCAGGAAAAACTCATCGCTAGATATGTTCCACCACCAACAAGCACGATGGCCCAGCCCATTATCGAGCCTCTTAATGGCAAAAGTGTGACCGGGAAGTATGAGATTGAGAGCTACAGTGTCTCTGATGGTGCTTCTAAGGGACAATACAAAGGACCAAGCCCCCGGAAGTCAGTGGAGGTGGGTCAAAATGCTTTGGGAAACCTAGCTGCCAATGCTTCATCCTTACAGCAAGTTCCAGAGAAGCGGGTGGTGCGTTCAGTGAAGGTCATTGGGGACACTGACAACACGGTCTCTTTAAACTGGCGCGCCCCTACAGCCACAAACACCACAGAATTCAGCGTCTTATACGCTGTGTTTGGTGAGAGAGACATGCGCCGCATTAACGTCGGCGCCGGAAAGAACCGAATCACCATCGAAGGCCTTGTGCCAAAGACAAAGTACATTGCCTGTATTTGCGTCAAAGGCTTGATTCCAAAAAAGGAACAGTGTGTAATCTTCTCAACCGATGAGGCCGCCAGTGCCAGCGGCACTCAGAAGCTCATTAATGTGGTGGTGATCACCGTGGCGTGCGTGATCGCTGTCCCCCTGACACTGATCGTGTGCTGCGGGGCGCTCAAGAAACRCTGCCAAAAGATGTTGGGGCGGCAAACAAAAGAAATGCAGGACTCCTACGTAACGTTTGAAACTCTTGGTCCTGGAGGCAAAGCTAAAGGAATGGAGGGYGAGTATCTGACCAGGCTCAATCCTGATGAATCGAACAGGCTGCTGTCGGCGAGGTCCAGCGTTGACTCAGAGGCCATAGCGAGGACTGAAGGGCCGCCCAACGAGTACTTCTGCTGAAACAGTTCAAGTGCCGAAGCGCTCAGAGACTCACGAACAACAACACACAAAAACATTTTAGATGTCTTCAGAGAACACTGATGCCTCTGTCACCAGTGTGAGATTATTTTTCAGCCTTGAGAAGAAAAACAAAATCAGCCTTTTGTTTTTTTGTTGAGACAAGATTTAAAGGAAGAAAAACACAATGGCATGGTTTTAATGTTGGTATATAAACTAAAAAAACAAAAAACAAAACAACAACAAAAAAAAACACCCAACAATGTTTCTTAATTGTCATTGTCATGCACTTTTAAATCATGTTTTTAACTGTCTTGATGCCCTAAAGTCTCATAAACCCAGTTACCTTTGTTTTGTTTTCCTGAAAACAACTTTTGCTTTGTGTTTAAATTTTTATTTAGAACTGAAAGAGTTTAGAACAACAGCTGTCTTTTTAGTTTTATTTTGTATGTCAGTATGATATTTATGTGCCAGGTTTACTGTTGGCTCAGAAACCTAAAATACAATGCATTTTATATATTATATGAATATTTCTAACCTTTATTTCATGTGT